GACTGCTCACAGACTTCAAATAATTTTCAAAAGTTGTTTGGGACACAGCATAGTTTACAATCTTTGAGTGATTTTCAGAAGTTTTTGGGAAATACTTAATGGATATGTCCTTTTTAAAGGGCATCTACTAATAATCTAGATAGTGATTCCAATTCACCTAGATAATTAACTAAGGAGGGTAGACAAATCCTTCTACTGTTATAGTCCAGCACCAACAGATGTTTGCAAACAGTTTAAACAAATGAACAAAAAAATAATTAAAAAGGGGGAGTAATGTCCCCAGTCCCCACATGACTCATCAAGTTTTTAAAATGTGAATGCCAGTGAGCAATCTGCTTCAGACAGATTCTGGCATGACGGAACTTGAGCAACTATTGCCCAGGTCAAATGGAGACATCCATGCACTAGACAGTGGAGAAGATCCTAATTTGGGGTCAAGGGCGTGTTTGTGTTTTTCTGCAGGAAAAGAATAAAGTTCAGTGCCATCAGAACATTTGGTGAGATGCATGGAGCAGAGAAAAACGGGACCTGAGACTGTGGGAGCCTACCTAAGCCAGTTTGAGTGAGATCTCCTAAATCAGTTTTCCTGACTCTTGATGTCATCAAATCTACAGCCCGAGAAAGAAAGAAAACAGTTGGTGATTTCGAGTTTCTCAACAGGCCTGCTGCATCAACCTCCCAGACCCGTGAGTTTTCATCCTGAAGCCAACAGAGAACTGCAAGATTAATAGTCTGCCCCTGACACACCTTGAAGCAACAGAATTCATTTTGCCAGTTTTTCCCTTTGGGGAAAAAAGGACCCATTTGAAACAATTGGACACTGGTATGGACTGTGATGAGTGGCAAAATTCCCTTTTCAGTATTTGAACAGGATTCAGCCACTTTAAAATATCAGCCCTTGGGGTATCCTGTTCTGGAATCGCACCTATGCCAGTGTATTTTTCTGGAGAAATGCAACTTGTCCTAATGCGACAAAAAGGAGACTTTGGCTCAAGTCACATATTCAGCTGGGGCTGCTGACATTAAATCAACAAACTGCATCACAGGAACAAATTGATGCTCTGTGGATAGTGCAACAAGCCTCTTGTTCATAGTTTTTATAATGCTACATGTGTAACATCAATGAGTGTACCTAATGTATCTGTGCAAGTGCACTTTCTAAATGCTTTTCTGAGCAGATCTTGGAATGATTGTAAACTTTATCACTGTTTTGACCATCAAATTGTAACTGTAAATCACATGCTGGGCTGTAACATTCTACCAGCCTTTCTGTCACAGCCCTTGTAACAGAAAGGCTGGTAGAATGTTACAGCCCAGATCTGGGCATGGGTACGGTGATGGAGAGGCGCTATGTCAATGGGGGTCCTGGGAATGGTGGCAGTGGCGGTAGGCATTCTGGCTTTATGCCGAGTTTAAACAGGCCTTGTTCCATAGGTAACAGATCCATCACTAAGTATTGCTCAGCTTAGCCCATGGCAAACCTGGTAGCCATGAAGTCTGGTTACAGATGATTTAAGGATGAGGCTCTCTGCTGACGGACAACCTGTGGGGAAGAGACCTCCCGCCTAAGACAGGGGATGCCAGGTCTCTCAAAGACGGGTAAGGGAGGGTGACCCTACTTGACCTAAGACAGGAGTGCCTCATTAGAAAATAAAAAAGGGGGAATTGTGGGAACAACAGACCTTGGCCAGAGGCCCACTTCCCCATCAGCCTGGGAGCAGGCAGATATAAGACAGTGTTTACGAAGCCCGGCGGTGGTGGCGCACGCCTTTAATCCCAGCACTTGGGAGGCAGAGACAGGCGGATCGCTGTGAGTTCGAGGCTGGGCTGGACCTACAGCCTCCAAAACAATACAGAGAAACCCTGTCTCGTAAAAACCAAAAAAAAAAAAAAAAAAAAGACAGTGTTTACGAAAAACATTACAGTGCCAGGGCAGTAATTTCCTGATAAGGGCTCGCCCACGGAAACGCCCTAATCTCGACCTTTTCCAAAGACTAACCGCCTCTTTCTGACCCACCCACCGCCACCTCTGGTGTCAGGGTATTTATAACCAGCCAGGATAGGAATAAAGGAGAGCCTTTTTGAGGAGCCTTCTGGAAGCCACCAACGGGTCTCTGTGTCATCAATCCCGACACCCTCCGCACATTCTCAGACACAGGCTGTGCAGCTGGTGCGGCAGTAGGTTTTTGTTTTGTTTGTTTTCAAGGTGTGGTGGTTTGAAAGAAAATGGCCTCCAAAAGGAGGAGCACTATTAGAGGTGTGGCTTTGTTGGAGAAAGTGTGACCTTGTTGGAGGAGTGTGTCACTGTAAAGCAAGCTCTGAGGTCTCATATATGCTCAAGATACTGCCCAGTGTCCCAGTTCACTTGCTGTTGCCTGCGTAAGATGTAGAGCTCTCAGCTACCTCTCTAGCCCCGTGTCTGCCTGCACGCCGCTGGTCCCGCCATGAGGATAATGGACTGAACCTCTGAACTGTAAGCCACCAGTTAAATGCTTTTCATTAGAAACCTTTCTGTGGTCATGGTGTCCCGTCACAGCAATAGAAACCCTGACTAAGACACAAGGGGAGAATGGTTTAGACTGGGTTTCACCCCATAGTCCAGGCTGGCCTGAAATTGACTGTGAAGCTGAGGATTGTTTTAAACCCACAATCCTCCTGTTGCTGCCTTGCAAATGCTCACTTTCAGGCCCTTGCTCCTACACTCAGCATTTTCTTTTCTTTATGTACTTGTTTGAATTTGTGGATGCAGAAGGATGACTGTACTCTCGTTTTTATTGGGGAAAGGGTGCTAATTTTTTAAAATCAGATCATAATTATTGATATATCTACAATGCAACCTTTATACCTAAGGATCAGATCATTGCAAAAGAAGAAGAGGAAAGATTGTAAGAGGCAGAGGACAGCAAGACAGTGTCTTCTATACATGACAGGGAATCTGTACCCATGAAATACCAGCAATCTCCTAAACATGACCTACCTAATGCCAACACCAGCTGACATGCCAACACAGATACGGGAAATCTCACAAGGCTCCACCCCATGTGAAGAGCTATAGGCAATTAACTTCTGCTAAGAGAATCAGAGTTCTCCAAGGACAAGCTACCTGATAGTCTACCTAAATACATGTACATAGAAGCAACACTAAAATGGACTTAGCAGGATAAATTCACACATACATGTACATGTGTGTGTGTGTATACACATAAATAATAAAAAGAGGCCAATTTGGGAGTGAATGAGGAGGACAAGGGAGGAGTGGAGGGAGAGGAAGGCTTGGAAATGATATACAGTACTTATGTATGAAATCATAAAAAAATTAAAAAAATAAAGATTACAGTGAGGTAGCTCTGTGGGTAACCATCTGTGGCTAACCCTGATGGCTTGAGCTCTATCACCAAGACCCACTTCTCCACCAAGTTTCCAACCATGTATGTACAAATAAAACAAGATTAATAAAGGCGGTCTGATCTGCAATACTCATCCTTACTTTCCGTTGTTGGATCTCTCAGTGTTGTTGGCTGTTGCCTGTGGCTAGGTTATGTTTGGGAAACAGATAGGTTTAGCTCATGGGTCTAGAAGCCAGAAAGCATTGTGCCGGTGTGAGTTGGCATCTCGAGAGGTCTGTATGCTGTTTCCCATAAAGTGGGAGGGAATGGGGTGTGAGGTCTGTATGCTGTTTCCCATAAAGTGGGGGGGGGATGGGTGTGTCTGGGGCACCAGGGGCTGAGGGGAGCTAAGAAACCCACCCTGTAACAGCTAACTTGGGATGACCAATTCATTTCATGAGCAACTACACTGATCCCTTTGTGGGGATCCAGCCCCCTCCTCTTATTACCTTTTAAGCTTCATTGAGCTAGGGACCAAGCTCCAACATGGGTTTTGGTGGGGACACACTTTCAGATCATAGCACTTAGAGAGATTCCGGAAAATTCTTGAAGCCTAGAGTGGCAACGCCCACTTGTCAGCCCAGCACCTGGGAGGGTGGACGGTGTGTGATTGGATTTATAAACAGATGTTTCAGACTTTGCTTCCTATACTGTAATGTCCCAGACCAGCAGGAGTAAGAACCCTGAACAGTGAGGTGTTGAGGGAGGAGCAGGGATGAGAGCTGGAGAAAGCTAGAGATAAAAACGACAGAGGCAATAGCTGGGACCAGGAGGTCTTGCAGAAGCTGATGACTTACACCAAACAAATGTTTGCTTTTTATTTTTTTGAGACAGGGTTTCTCTCTGTATCCCAGGCTGTCCTGGAACTTGCTCTGTAGACCAGGCTGGCCTCAAACTCAGAGATCCACCTGCCTCTGCTCCCGAGTGCTGGGATTAAAGGAGGTGGCCCAAGCGGGTTTATTAAGCACAGCTTTTTATATTATATATACTATCTGCAGGAGAAAAATGGCAAGGTCAGCAGAGAGTCAAATAGACAGTGTCAGCAGAGAGAACATGGAATACCTCAGACAGTTGCCCGAGGACTGATGACCACAGCCCAGGGGAGAGAGCTGGGTCTCTAGAAGCCACACCTGGCCTCCTTTGAGGCACAGCCTCCAGCCCGAGACCAGCTTTGCCAAGCCTGCTCCTGGGCAAAGACAAAACTGAAGTCCCCTTTGACCTTTCGTCAGGGCCTCTGAGGGAGTCTTGGGTCTGTCTGGCTCCCCACATTCACACCTTTTTCTTTTCTTTTCTTTTCTTTTCTTTTTTTTGCATGTGTTCGATGTAGCTTTATGTCTGTTAAATTAGGTTTTTAGGGTGCTTTTGTTGATCTCTGATCGTCACACACTTACATACCTGCAATCACATCACATATGCATGCACACACAACACAGTGGCTATAAATAGATATTTCAAATAGATACTTTGTTAACAACAAATTTTCCTTTGTTTCTTTTAAATGCTACTCATTTAGAATATGTGATGCAGATGGTTAGCTATGGACTATAGTCCTAGTTTGTTGATTGGCATACTTTCCGGTTTCTCAAATTTGAAACCCTTTATGTTTTGTTTTAGGTGTGAGCCTTGTAAGTAGCATTTGGCAGAACTTTAGGCCAAGCCGGGAAAGCCCTTGCGGTTAAGGTGAGCTATTGCTTCATACTGGTGTATGTTTGCATTTCCAGCAGCTGTCTTTTGGGTTTTCCATTTGCCATACGTTTTCTCTGGTTTCCCCCTGTGTTTTTCATCTTCCCCCTAGTAGGTGGCTTACTTTGCTTGTTTGGTTTTTCTGTCATTCAACTTAAAAGGTATACGTTCCTTATCTCTTCTTCTTGTTATGCTGAAGGTTTATATCTATTCTTTTTAAATTTCTTTAAAATCTTTTATTTATATTTTACATATTTTATTTAATATTTTTGTCTTATGTGCATAAGTTTTTGTTTGTAAGTATGAAAGAGTACCACATACATGCATTCCCCACAGAGCCCGGAAGAGGACATAAGATCCTCTGAAACTGGAGTTACAAAAGGTTGTGAGCCATGGGGTGGTGGTGGGAACTAAACCTGTGTCCTCTACAATAGCAGCAGTGCTGTAAATCATCGTGCCACCTTGTAAGAATGTTCATGTTCTTACAGACATTTCTAGCAAAATGCTATGCTTATCCTTATTCCTACTGAACAAGGTGTGTAGAGTTTTTAACTTGTGATGTATTTTACGGGAACTCAGGCTCTAGCACAGGTCAGCGCCACTTAGTGGAACTTGACGCCATGCAGACACAAAATCCAGCCTTTTGGCTTTGATTTTATTTACAGTAGCAACACAGGAAATCCAAAGCAATGCACGTGTAACCCAGTGACACAGAAAGGACGGGCGAAATCTCCCAGCAGCCCCAAAGACTAGACCCTTGACTGTGGGACACCTTCTTGCAGATGCTTTGTTCTGCATCTGTGCACGCAGAGTTCCGGATGTTTGTCATTCTGTCCTTCCAAATGCATCATGTATACTGCTCCATATCTCAGTCAGTGACGTGAAGGAGTTATGGGAAACAAAATTGCATGTAACGAGCGAAGATACCCTGTTGAATGGTGGAGCCGTCATTTCACTTCACAGTTTCCTAATGGTAGACTTTAAATTGTTTTCTTCTGTATTGTAAAGGACCCACACAGTTTTCTGACTTTTTTTTTGTAGGATAAACTGGTAGCAGTGGTGTTGCTCGAATTGGACACAGTCTAGAAGTCCTGCTTAGAATACATTCAAAAGTCAAGGGAGCCCTGCTTACTTACTGCTGCATAGTAGCCAAGGTATGGAATCGCTTGGTGAGTCCAGTTACGGACTAGGGGATCAAGACAGTGTGGGAATGTACAAGATAGAATTTTACTCAGCTATCAAATGCTAGAATCCTGGCATTTGAGGCAATGTACACAGAGTAAAATGATCCAAGAACAGAAAGATAAATATTTTGTAGTTCTTACTTGTTTGTGGAATGTTTTTAGCTGCCATCTTTCTTTTTACTTTTAATTCTAAGACCAGGTCTTTCCAAGTCACCTAGGCTGGCCTTGAACTTGTGATCTTCTTGCCTCATCCTTCTAGTAACTGGGGTTACAATTACCTGTGTTGAATGAGAGGTCTGTCTTAGCCTTGGTCTTGATGTGCGTCTCTGGGTGGTGGTTCATTGGTGTGTTGAATGCAGCCAGGCAGGCGTAGGTCGGGCTCTCTGTTTTTGAAGGGGAGCTTTCTTTCTCTGTCCTCTCTGCTTGGCTGGATGACATGACCTGCTGTGTGTTGGGGTGGTGGACACTCACCCAGCCTTTGCTTCGCCTTGTAGAACCTGTGCCTTGTGTGCTTCTCAGCTGCTGTGGATGGCCCCAGCTGTCTTGACTGCCCTTCTCAATAGGATGTCACTGAGATCCCTCAAGTGGAGCCTCCTGCTGCTGTCCCTGCTGAGTTTCCTGGTGATGTGGTACCTCAGCCTTCCCCACTACAATGTCATTGAGCGTGTGAACTGGATGTACTTCTATGAGTATGAACCAATCTACAGACAAGACTTTCGCTTCACGCTCCGGGAACATTCGAACTGCTCTCATCAGAACCCATTCCTGGTCATCTTGGTGACCTCGCGCCCCTCGGATGTCAAAGCCAGACAAGCAATTAGAGTTACCTGGGGTGAAAAAAAGTCCTGGTGGGGGTATGAGGTTCTCACCTTCTTCCTCTTAGGCCAGCAGGCTGAGAGGGAAGACAAGGTGCTTGCGCTGTCCTTAGAAGATGAGCACCTTCTCTATGGCGACATCATACGGCAAGACTTTTTGGACACGTATAATAACTTGACCTTAAAAACCATTATGGCTTTCAGGTGGGTCATTGAGTTTTGTCCCAATGCCAAGTATGTCATGAAAACAGACACTGACGTGTTCATCAACACGGGCAATTTGGTCAAATATCTTCTAAACTTAAACCACTCAGAGAAGTTATTCACGGGCTACCCTCTGATTGATAACTATTCCTATAGAGGGTTTTTCCACAAGAACCACATCTCATACCAGGAGTACCCTTTCAAGGTGTTCCCTCCCTACTGCAGTGGGCTGGGCTACATCATGTCCGGTGACCTAGTGCCGAGGATCTATGAGATGATGAGTCATGTGAAACCCATCAAGTTTGAAGACGTGTATGTCGGGATCTGCTTGCATTTGTTAAAAGTGGACATTCATATTCCAGAAGACACAAACCTGTTCTTTCTGTACAGGATCCACTTGGATGTATGTCAGCTCAGACGTGTGATTGCAGCCCATGGCTTTTCTTCCAAGGAGATCATCACGTTCTGGCAGGTTATGCTGAGGAACACCACATGCCACTACTAAGGCCGACTTCACACTAGGAAAGGGGGTGCTCTGTGGAAGGAAGGGGCCAGAGTTCAGTGTGCTGGCTTCCTAAACATAAACTCATGGAGCATGCCTAGACTGCAGCTCCAAGGCATTAACTTACTAGTGATTTGTTTTCACAAAATTAACTCAGATCCTTTAAAGCTGACAGAGGAGTTAAACATAAAGCAAACAAAGGGTTTTGCTAATAAAATCAAAGGAGCAAAGAGTCTGGATGACTCAGTCTGTAGGTCAGAATTTCTTAAGATTTCCCTGAAAGAAAAGCCAACTAGTCCTCAGCAACAAATCAGTGTAGAGTTGTATTTATTAGATAGTCTAGTCACATAATGGTTCAGTGTGTCTCTTAGGTGTTTATTATTAATATATATACATATTATATATTTCTTGTAAAAAGCTTTACTGAAGTTGTACTGAAGAAAATTTCATTTATATTGTTTTCATTGATACTGTGGTGTTTCAGATTTGTCAAATAGTATTTAATGTTATTTCAACTTTCTGAGTGTTTCAAGGTTATGGCGGTTTCAGTATTACACAGTTTGAGTATTTCACGTTTGAGTTTTGTTTTATTTACTCCACTGATCTGTTTAACTCTGAAAGTCCCATGAATGTGACATCATAGCTTATTGCTGATTGTCAGTAATCTTTTGGAATGTGTTGCATATTTTATTGTAGAAATATGGAGAATTAAAGTAAGAAACTTAGAGCGTTTGCTCTGTTTCATAAAAATGTAGTAAAACAGTGTAGTCGATGTTTCTAGATGTCACTCCGTTTGTCTCATTTTTTTTTCTCTACAGAACTTAGAGAATTCCAGGCAGTACATTTCCTAAAGGCACAAAAGGCTAAGACGGTATTAGAATATACTATTGCAACATCTAAGTTGGAGAGGGAAGGCGGAAGAGGCAAGTTGCATTGTTACCCACCCAGTGTGTGTTCTACTTAGTAGTCAGTTTGTGAATAAAGGGTTTTCAAAAACGAGACAAGCTGCTGCTGTTGTTATTAGCTCACCGTTGAGACGAAAGTCTGAAGTGAAGTCCGGCTTTCACAGTGCTGGCCTTTCCTTGCTGAACTGTTTCTAAGGGAGGAAAGAGGAGCCCTTGTCCTCAGGTTCCAGGGGCTACGCAGCTTTCTCTTCCTCTTAGAGTTGGTAAAGAACAGGTAACTCCTCTCTTAGTAATTATCTGGTATTAAGAGTTCAAACCGTCCTCAGAAACCATAACCTTAAAATCTGCAGTCAACTCCCGAGATGGCTGGTGTATAATTCTGTGTGGAAACTGCTATGCTCCGTGGTTCCCTATGATGAGCCTGTGACCATATCCCTGGAGTCAGTCGTCTATGCCCCGCAGCCACAGAGGAGTGACTGTCTTTAGGACCACTGGAGGAAATGAATTCTTATATGAATGTATCTGATCATTTTTGCAGATTATGTTAAGGTTTGTGATGTTCAGAGATCAAAGGAAATGTTTTAGAGAGAACTTTTAAAATAAACTAATGTATTCTTCAATCTGAATCTCAGAAAACCCAGACCCAGGGTTGAGGTGGTAGCTCCTTACAAAGTTTTTTTTTCACCCTCAAGACCTGAAAAATGCTTATGAAAATTGTCCAGCCTATTGAACATACTTTAACTGCGTGTTTCATAGCCTTAAGCTTTTGGGCTGGTAGCTGTTAGTCAGTTGTGTTACTGAATCCACCACCCCTAGTCTGGCGAGATGGTTCCCCAGGTGATAAAGACCCTCGGCACTGAGCCTGGGGACCTGACTTGACCCCGAGAACCCACGTGAGGCAGGAGAGAACTGACCCCAGCAAGTTGTCTGTTGACCTTAACATGTGCGCCGTGGTACACACATTCCCCCTCATCCTCTGAATACATGCTTTAAAAACTTTAAAAAGTTCCTGTTCCTCCATGACCAACTCTCTCTTCCTCTTCTCCCCCTCTCTTCTTCCCAGCTCCCACTCTCCCCCACCCCTCGCCGTGTTCCCCATCCATTCAGAAGATCTTGTCTCAATCCTCTTCTCTTGGGTACTATGCATATATGCATATCTTTTAGGTTCTTTCCTGTTTCCCAGACTCTCTGTCAGTGGAAGTGCAGACTGGCACTATCCTGATCCATGTCTAAAATCCATATATGAGTGAGTACATACCATGTTTGTCTTTTTGTGACTGGGTTACCTCACTCAGGATGGTTTCTTCCAGTGCTATCCATTTCCCTGCGAATTTCAAGATTCCATTGTTTTTTTCTGCTGAGTAATACTCCATTGTGCAAATGTACCACATTTTCTCTATCCACTCTTCAGTTGAGGGGCATCTAGGTTGCTTCCAGGTTCTGGCTATTACAAATAATGCTGCTATGAGCATAGTGGAGCAGATGCCCTTGTTGTATGAATTTGCCTCCTTTGGATATATGCCTAAGAGTGGAATTGCTGGGTCTTGTGGTAGACAACACGGCCTCTACTACGCACCTAAACCGACAGCTTTTAAACCCTTAGCCGCAGCACAGCTTAATACTGGAGCCTACCATTTCGCTGAGTCTGCCCAGTCTGTAGCAGCCCTATCGGTCACGCTGTTACGCATGCGTGCCTGTCTGTCCACTCCACTCTGCTGCCTGCGCTGAGTCTGCGATCCCTGATACCTGGTTAGTTTGTGTGGGATTATGCTGCCGAGAAGACTCCCGAGTGTATGTAGAGCACGGTGCGCTCTTTAAACTCGCATTGCATGCCAGTGGTTGGCTAGTAGCCTGCACCAAGTGTCTTTCATACCCGGGCACGGCTTCAAGGGCTGTGCCCACCTAGGACCACCATTCGCACAGAGAGAAGGAAAAAAAATAACTGCTGGAAATGGTAAGCGGGGGCTCAGCAAAGAGACCACCATCAACGCAGCTCCACGGTAGAGGGAAGGGTTTCATCACAGAGAAGAGAGAGGATAGCCAGAGCCATGTGGGGAGTCTGCCATGGCTACCTCTCAGGGACAGAGAGGAGCAGGAAGAAAAGGCAGGGAGAGGCGCAGACTGGCAATCGCCAGGGCTATGGGAGCAAAGAGAGCAAAAATGGCGGGAGAGTCCTGCCAGTTATGAGGGGTTGTGTTGCGGGGTGCGGGGACAGGTTGGTGAAACAGCCTGGGAATTAGCATGGGGCTCTGATCTGTTGGAGGTTTGATTGAGTTCACAGAGAACTAGGTGCCCTCTCTGGAGGCTGGAGGGCTGCTAAAGCCGATAAAAAAGTAATGGCTTTTTCTGGCAGACAGAAACCCACTTTACAAGGTTTCTGAGAAGAGCTGAGTGTTTATGGAGTCAGGGTCCAGCCGGAGCTGAGCCCAGACTGCCACCTTGGGGGTTTGGGACCTGACAGAGATGCAGTGGCCTACATACCCACTAGCCAGAACCGATCCCAAGCAAAACCCAGTGTTAGGAGGGCAGAGAAGTGTATTCCTGTCGCCAAATGAACTGTGAGCGTGTTGTAGCATGCAGAAATGTCCTGTTCTCCTGTATGGGAATGAGTGGCTAGACGCAGTCTTGTAATCTGCCATGCCTACTGTGTAAAATGCAGCGGGGCCTCGGGTTCCAGTCTGGGTGGGATTGTAAATGTCCCCAGAGGCTCAGACACTAACAGTCTTTCTCTGGCCTGTGATGCTGGGGGTCAGTGGAACATCTGGGTGGTAGGGCGGAATGGGAAGAAGTTAAACCATCGGAAGTTAGACCTCTGGAGGGCTTGCTGAGCCTGCAGCCCTCTCCCCCCCCACTTCCTGCCCTTCCCGAGGGAGGCGTTTTCTGCCATGTGTGGCTGCTGTGATGTGCACCCCTCAACTGTGAGCCCAAACCAACCTTCCTCACTTTGTTTGTTTGTTTATTCATTTGTTTACTTCTGCCTCCCGACTGAACTCTGACTCTCTTAGGCGGGAGACCGGACACAGGCTCCGAGGAGAGCTCAGGCAGGGCTGCTTTTCGGGCTCACTTTTGCTGGTGATCCAGGCTACTGGCCGTTCTCTGAGACATCCGCCATTTTCACATTCTTTAACCTACCCTTACCACCAGTGGCATTATGTGCTGTCACCAGCTTCCTAGATGCATAGTGACCAGGGGCCAGTCACTGTAACTGGGACATGCTGACAGCATGGGTGGATGGATAAAGCCCTTTTCTTTCTTTCTTTTTCATAAGTTTTTGTTACTTTTTTTTTTTAGAAATAAGCTTGCTTCACATGTCAATCCCAGCTCTCTCTCCCTCTCCTCCTCCTGCACCCTCCACCATTCTCCCCCGCCTCCCACCCTATCCCCACTCCCTTCCACATAGGGGATCTCCAGAGTCTGTCACTTCGTTCAGGGCAGGGTCCAGGCCCTCTCCTAAGAGTCCAGGCTGAGAGAGCATCCCTCTTTGTGGGATGGACACACAAAGTCCATCCGTACGCCGGGGATAAACACTGATCCACTGCCCAGGGCCCCACAGGTTGCCCAGGCTTCCTCACTGACTCTCACACTCACGGGGTCTGGATCAGTCCCATGCTGGCCTCCCAGCTGCTGGTCTGGGATCCAAGAGCTCTCCCCCTATTCAGATCAGCTGTCCCTGCTGGTTTCGCCAGCCCATTCCTTACTCCTTTGCCCATCGCTCCTCCCTCTCTGTCCCTGGGTTCCAGAAGTTCAGTTCAGTGTTTAGCTGTGGGTATCTGCCTCTGCTTCCGTCTGTCACTGGATGAAGGTTCTAGGATGCCATATAAGGCAGTCGTCAAACTCATTATAGGGGATGGGCATTTAAGGTAGTCTCTCCACTATTGCCTAGTTTGCCAGTTGGTGTCATCCTTGTACATCTCTGAAAATCTGATTAGTGCCAGATCTCTCCTCAAACCTATAATGATTCCCTCTATTATGGTATTTAGTAAGCCATTACTGCAGAGAGAGGAGCAGGCAGTGTTACAACCAGCCCATGCTAGTGCCTTAGAGTCTTACATCCTTTGGACCCTTGAATCCACCAGGACTTGTTTCTCTGCCGTTCTCCTGCCTCACCAGCCTCCCGAATGCTAGGACTGCAGGTTTGTGCCAGTGTATCTTGTAACTTCCTGTATGTTAATGTGAGTCCTTCAGATTTGGATTTGGGGGTCACCAAAGACCAGTCCTCATTACCACTCCTTCCTGCACCATCAGCTCCCTGGTTAGCCCACATGTGGTTAATGTGGGGCCAGATTTCCAAGGAATTCCTCAAAATGCTTGACACGTGCCAACATTTATAAAAAGCAATAGGGTTCTCTTATGGTCCTGAGAGTCAGAGCTATGTTGTCTACATAGCTCCAAATGCTTTATCATCTCTCCTAGGTATCTAATCTGAATAATGTGCGTGGTCTTACACTGCTCTAGAAGACGCCTCCCTGGCTGTGCTCAGAAATGCCAGGCTCCACCCTGCCTCTCCGCTGCTGTCTTTTCCCGATGTGGCCCTGTGACCTGTGGCAGGCCACTCCTTCTCACAGACGCTGCTATCAATGTGAAAACGCCTCTTCTTTAAAGTGCATAGGAAACCAGCTTCTCTCTCACATCCAAACACGAATGGCCATGGCCACGGATGTGGGCTCGGGGGACCGCAATTGATGTGCTTTGCCATGGAAGAAATTTTATATGAACTTTCATAGCCAGGGGACTAAGAAAATCGGGAAGCTTGAGGTGGAGGGAAGGCTAAGGAGGCAAATTTAGTCGGTGACAATGCGGACCCAGTAAATCAGCTTCAAACCACATGCTTGTAAACGTCACACATGCAGGGTCACTTCTCTGGGGGCCTCGTGGTCAAGCACAGGGGCGGGCACCCTTACTACAGGCCCGTGAGGGGTGCCTTCCTCTCCATGGGGCGCTGTGGCACGGGTAAGTTGGCAGATGTAAAGAGGTCAGTCAAAGCCTTCTCCACACGGCCTAGTGGAGGCAGCTGCTTTGTGGCCAGGGAGCCCGAGGGTTTGCAAAGGACGTTGGAGCCCATCCCGAGTGAACAGCACACAGAGCGCCTTGAGAACAAATTGAATGGAAGGAACAGAAATGTCTCCCGTGTCCCTTTCCCCCACCTAGACCAGGCTCTTTCTGCCAGTGAGCAGTACATGTGTCCATTTGATGAGTCCTTTCTGGCATACCCTGATCACCTGACTCTCCGAGAACTCTCAGTAGCACCGTCCCCAGAGCCTGTGTCTGCAAAGGCTACGCAGTCAGAAGGACTTTGTATCACTAGGGCTTTGTATCAACCACACTTTTTTTTCTGTATATGCCAGTTTTTGTTTTTGTTTGTTTGTTTGTTTTTTGTCAACTTTATACAAACTAGAGTCATCTGAGAGGAACAAGCCCCAATTAAGGAAATGCCTCCCTAAGAGTGGCCTGTGGCAAGCCTGTGGCCATTTTCTAGATTAATGGTTGGTGTGGGACGGCCCACCTCATTGTGGGCAGTGCTCCTCCTGGGTACATAGGAAAGCAGGTTAAGCAAGCATTTGTTCAAGGCTTCTGCTCAGTTCCTGCCTTGAGTTCCTGCCCTGACTTCCCTCAGTAACTGAGTATGATCCTCATCCCCTTTGGGGCCAAACAACCCTTTCACAGTTACAAAGTATCAACGAAATAATTTTATGGTTGGGAGTCACCAGAACACGAGGAACTGTGTTAAACGGCAGCAGTGTCAGGAAGGTTGGGAACCACCATCTTAGTAGTATGATGAAAAGTCCCCTTTCCTCCCCAAGTTCCTTTTGGTCATAGTGTTTTATCACTGTCAGGTCCCAAACCCCCAAGGTGGCAGTCTGGGCTCAGCTCCGGCTGGACCCTGACTCCATAAACACTCAGCTCTTCTCAGAAACCTTGTAAAGTGGGTTTCTGTCTGCCAGAAAAAGCCATTACTTTTTTATCGGCTTTAGCAGCCCTCCAGCCTCCAGAGAGGGCACCTAGTTCTCTGTGAACTCAATCAAACCTCCAACAGATCAGAGCCCCATGCTAATTCCCAGGCTGTTTCACCAACCTGTCCCCGCACCCCGCAACACAACCCCTCATAACTGGCAGGACTCTCCCGCCATTTTTGCTCTCTCTGCTCCCATAGCCCTGGCGATTGCCAGTCTGCGCCTCTTCCTGCCTTTTCTCCCTGCTCCTCTCTGTCCCTGAGAGGTAGCCATGGCAGACTCCCCACATGGCTCTGGCTATCCTCTCTTTTGCTTACCATGGAGCAGCTTGACGATGGTTTCTCTACTGTGTCTCTCGCTTAAACTCATGACTGCGACCTTGCTCATTTTTGATGTTATTTATTTCTATGATTATGTTTCATATTCCAATATTTCAATTTGGTTCGCTTGGGGTAGGGTCTCTCTATGTAACCCTGGCCAACCTGCTTGAGGTAGGGTTTCTCTACACAACCCTCCCTGGCCAACCTTGCTATGTAGACCAGGTTGGCCTTGAACTCTGCCTCTGCCTCTGCCTCCTGAGTGGTGGTATGTGCCCTCACAGGCGCTTACAATGTTTTAATATCTAATGCTCCATCTTTCTGCTGATATCCTTTCTGTTTTCTTTTAGCTCTCTGAACACATCTGTGGCCATTCAAGGTCTTCAGAGTGCACCTTGTGCTGGGAGGCATTGTTTGCTGCTGACTGCTGGTTTTTTTTTTTTTACTCTGCCCCATCTTCTTGCTTCTTCACACGTGCTAATTTGTTGATGGGAGATTGGCTGAACAGTGGGAGTGATGTTACAGACACGCACTCCCCTGGGCTGCTTTCTTTCTTGGAGTAGTTTTGCGTGTTTTAGTTCTAGGCTGTAGCCGAGTGCTTCACTGACTGTCTAGGACTTGCTGTAGGGAAAAGGGACCAGTCAAAGAAACACACCCTGAGCAGAGCCAAAGAAACACACTTCGGCCCCGCAACCACAACCAAAGAAGTGTACCCTGACCCTAAAGCCAGTGCCAAAGGAACACACTTTGTCCCTGGAATCAGAGTGAAAGAAATGTACCCTGGCCCTAAAATTGGAGCTAAAAGGCTAAAAAGGACCAGAGAAAGAAACACACTTTGGCCCTGAAACCAGAGCCAAATCTGACCCTAATCCTGTGTAAAAAAGTAACCAATCTCGGAGCAGAGCTCTAGCCAATCTGAGCTCAGCACTGAAATCGGACCAATCCCTACTCTGGAAAAACTTCCCCAACCCCAGGAATCCCTATATAAACCCTGTGTATGTTCAGCTTGGCTGGTCCAGCTGCCTTCCAATAAACCCCTTTGGATGAGCTTTGGGTGAAGATCTTCTTTTGTGGTGCGACAGAACAGAGGCGACCCTGGGCAGAGCAGAGCAGAGCAAGCAGAGGTGACCCTGGGCAGAGCAGAGCAAGCAGAGGTGACCCTGGGCAGAGCAGAGCAGAGCGAGCAGCGCTGTAACACTTGCCCGGGAAACCTTCCTTGGCAGAGCAGAGTTGTTACACTCTGCCCCCAGCTCCCTGCTCTCTGCCCTCCAGGAGCAGAGCTGAACTGTAGCAACTTCGCCCGAGAAACCTCCTGTGGAGCAAAACTGCTACACTAGGTGAACATCCCCAGCTGGAAGACCCTGTCCTGCCGGAGCTGAGCTGATACCTGCAGGAGTGGAGCTGATACACGGGAGAAGCCTTTCTCTGAGGCAAGGCTGTAAGCTGCCAAGCTTACTGCAACCTGTGGTGGTCCTTGGCTCCCGAGCTCCATGATACCTTCCCACCTCAGCTGTGTAACACTGAGTATTCTGTGACTCCCGAGTGCCAGAATACCTGACCCACTCCTGTTCCATCCTGTCCTGACCCATCCCGACAAAACGCTTACACTTGGGTTCTTTGTTTGCTTGCTTGTTTTGTCTTGAGTTTTTGGTTTTATGGGGTACTTAAGCCAGTCAGTGAGAGTCTATGAGATTTCCCATGATCCTCGGAATTGTCAGCTCGAATGTCCTCTTTCCTCTCCTGGTAGCTCTGATCAGCAGTTAGCTTTACGCTCATGTGATCTGAGTCTGCAGTAGGTCTTAGTGTGCCCTTTGCCTCCGGAGCATGGTCTCTAGCTGTTAGCAATGTTCTCCTCTTCATGTGATTGGAACCTGACATCCTCAGCAATGCTTAACCCAATATTTCTCTTCTGTTCTCACCTCTTAGAAGCCTTCTATGCCCTCCCAACCCCATGCGGTAAGGCCCTCAGCTGAAGACTCGCAAGAATTTGGGGACGCAGCTTCCATTGTGTAATATCTATTAGTAATATTGAGAAGACTTTGCTAGGTAGCTGATTTGCCTTGAATTTACTATTCTTCTGGCCCAATTTCTTGAGTGCTAGTATTACAAGTGTGAACTATGTGAACTATTGTCTGGCTCATGTTGTTTTTAATGAAAAAGAGGAAAACAACCAAAGGCTACATTTTTCTACTTTATACACTCAACTTGTTACACTCAAGTCTAAAGCCAGCAATCCGGCAGCTGAGATTTACTTAAATGCCAGGTTCTGTTCACATCTGAGCATCAAGTCTTCAGAATATGTCATCACATGCATATGTATACACAGTCTCTGTTTCATTGTCCCCAAACTCCAGTGTTCCTATGCCCACTGTGAAAAATCTCACAGATGTATATTCTGTTCTGAAGTTTTCTAGGTTATGTTATGCCATGTTGTCCAGACTGTATATATCTGCAATCCATCTAACCATTATCTAATACTGATTATTATTAAAGGAGGACACCCATGTTAAGAATAAGTACTTCTGGGCCGGGCGTTGGTGGCGCACACCTTTAATCCCAGCACTTGGGAGGCAGAGGCAGGTGGATCTCTGTGAGTTTGAGAGCAGCCTGGTCTACAAAGCGAGTTCCAGGACAGCCTCCAAAGCAATACAGAGAAACCCTGTCTCGAAAAACCAAAAAAAAAAAAAAAAAAAAAAAAAAGAATAAGTACTTCTGTTGACTACATCTGTATGCATTTAAACCTGGCTGTTTCTGGATCATTGCCAGGCCCATTTCTGATCCAAACTTCCAGCAGCTCCTTCCTCTTGTTCTGTTATGCTAAGGTGTGCTCCACCCACGGAGTGATTGTCTGCCACTTCAGTGGAATCCAGCAAGGAAAAAATATCATTTTCCAAACAGACATTGGAACAGAAAACGAGCTTAGTCCAAGGAAAAGAGCAGGAGGCATATACAGTTTAACAGCTTTAATGTGTTTGCTTTTTCTTTGAGCTGTTTATTTTGTATACAACAGAGTCGGTGATTGCATGAACACCGCAATCGCTACAATGCCAACTGTACCCAGCACATCAAAGGGACCAAGTGACAGGCCACGCATCTCGAGTGACTGCATCACCACCTGCTCTGAGCTCCTCCCAAACCTTGTTCCTCATGTCTCTTAGAGACAAGTATAAACAGTAGAAATGAAAAGCTCTACATAGCTCCAAGTGCACTAGGGTCTCAGCAAGGGTTTTATGTACAGATTGGTTTTGGGGACCAACTTCAGAAAGCTGGGTTGACGAAGCTGTCATGCCCACCTGTGTGTTCGTCATTAAACATAATGTCGAGTTTTCAACCACGGCAGATACATTATGGATCTTGGTACCTTCTGATAAACAATCCATTCTGATGTTTAAAGTAGCAAGGAAATGGTGCCAAAGGAAAGAATTTTGTGATGTCATAGAGACATAAGGAACAGCTCATACATAGCCAGAGTTTCCAAACCCGGACAGGATGTGCTCAGAAGTGTTGAGCTATGGTACCCTCACAGGAACTACTACCCCGGCGGTACAGGGCTTCCTTCCCTCTTTCCCTTCCCCATCCTACTTTCTTTATTAAAAGCTGGGCCCCACCTACGCTCTCAGCTTTATCGGAAACTGGTGAAGTTCCTTCTGCAAGTGCTCACGACTGAAAACAAAACCCCCAAAGCTGACTTCATGGTACAGTGAGGTGCTGTTTCCTATCAGCCTGGCCTGAGTGGGCAGGGCACCATGACTCAGCCCTTCCGACAGCTTAGGAAAGAGGATGGGCCTGCAAATGATGACAGTGATTACTTCTTTGATTAAAAAAAAAGTCTGATTTTTGCCCCCCCCTACAGATTTTGCTGTTCTTTTTCAAAGTGAAAAACTTAAAATCATATGCTTAGGACTTAGAATGTGTAGTGCTGAGAGGCCATTTATGTTGTTATTGTTTAAGAATCTGGCATTTAGTGTTTGTTTGCATTTGAAGTTAAGCAGTAATTGTAGTCCAATGATAAGTTTCCCATCTACATAGTCAGGAAGGCTGATGGGAAACACTCGGTCTTATGTTCTCGTTTGGGGCATGAGATCATTACAGTTTATAGTCTCTTGGGAACAGAAATTGCAAAAGCACACGGCACAGTGTTCTCATTCCTTCCTGTCCTGGCTGTTTGGAGGACAGGAAGCCTGGCTTCCAGCAGACCACTGCTAAGACTGTGCCTGCCACTGACCCTCTCAGGCCTGGGGACCTGTCAGCCATGTCCTCTCACATCTGTGATAAGGCAGTTCAGTGCTAAGTGTTGCACTGTCACAGAGTATTTCTGATTTTGACAACCCACAGTCCATAAGGTGTTCACGTATAAACAGAGGTAAGTCAACCATAGAGACAGAGGTAAGACAGCCAGTCCAGGAACCTAGGGAGGCACAAACCTCAACACAACCAGACAGTAAACACAGAAGAGTCAGCTTTAACCAACTGTAGGTTCTATCGCCCCTCCATGGGGCAGCCCTGCCCTCTCTTCCTGGTCCCTAACTGCTCCATTCTGACTTCCCACCCCTCCCTTAGGGAGGACATATGCAAGATAGTCCCGGTCTCTCTCATAAAGCCACGTTTTTAAAATAACACGGAAAGAGCTCAGAGTTTAGGAGTTCTGACATGGAATTGTGGCACTTTGCTTTCAATTTTCTGAATGTGTCTTAAGATAAAGGGATCCAGATGAAGAATACACAGAGACTGAGAGCCCATATGAGAGTACTATATTCTTTGTTTTGTTTTCTTTCTTCAATACAGGCTTTCTCTGTGTAGCCTCAGCTGTTCTGGAACTCACTCTGTTGACCAGAGTGGCCTGAAATTGATAGAAACCTACCTGCCTGTGCCTCCAGAGTCCAGGGTTAAAGGCTCACACACCATTGCCTCTGCCTCTGGAGTCCTGGGGTTAAAGGCTTACACACCACTGCCTGGGTATTATATTCTTGCCTCATGTCCCAGGGCTTAGGCTTTCCCACATAGCAGAATTCTTTGCAGTGTTCTAATCAGTCCCTATTTGTCCTTACATAGGTTGAGGCAAATTTAAAATTTACGTAGGATATCATTCTCCCAACCTAAAGATGTCTAATACACGATTTCTACTGGGCTAATTAAAAATTATGGGGATAGCATAACTTTGTATGACACCTGAAGACTGGTAAATCACCCCCACAGGTTATCTCTATGAAACTACCTGCTATCAACCAGGCACTCACTGTTTTCTCTGTTGACATCTGGAAAATCACCAGCATGTTCAAACTATTTCATCTCTGTTAGGACTTTTTAAAAAGTATAAAAGGGACATTACTTTGAAAATGGTAAGGTTCTAAGAAACACCACATCCAGGGTCTGGGCTGGATGAGATGACATCTACCAAATTCCACCCAGACAAAAGGAAGTTGGGACTCTGTTTACACCTTTCACTGTTGAAAACTCAGGCTTTGTTTGAAAGTATCAGTTAATGTCTTCAGGAACAGCACCCCCTGGGTCCATCCTGCTCCACGCAGGAGTCACAAGTCACTGTCTGAAGCCGCACATGCGCGGGCATCTGGAAGCCCACAGATAGGTCACTTTCAGTGTCCCTGAGTTTCCGCCCCGGCTCCACTCCGGGACTGTGGCTTTGTCCTTTGCTTCTCTATGGACACACTTTAAACTATGAATGAGCTGATTAAATTGCCTGAAGGGTGCATGCTCTCCCATTCAACGTCTGGATTGTCTGGAGTGTTGTGAGAATGTGTGGTTGATGTAGTTCCTGTGGGCTGAGATATGGAGAGGATTGGGTAGATTTTCCTGTCCCTCCTCAAAACCCGCTAGCCCCAAGCTGCCACCATTAAATAATCTGCTCAAGCTGGATGCTGGTCTTACAGGTTTCTAAAACTCATTTCAATGTGGCAAACATATAAGACTTTTATGGCTAAACGACACAAGACTTCTAGAATAAATGGAAACACACCCTTAAATATGTCTATTTCTTTGCTTCATGCTTGCTTCCTGGTATAATTCTGAACAGCAAAAATGCCTATGATGATTTTATCAAAACGAACAGCACGTAGTCTTCTCAGTGACCTGAACTAGGATTGCACATGTGATGTGTGGTTATTACTAGACGTATAAAATGATTATAGCAGTGTTGAGCCAAACGGACAATGGACAAAGCAGTAACATCACTAAGAGTCTGCAGAAGCTTGTGCAGTGGAGAACACTCAGGAACGTACCCACGGACCCCACCGTATCAACTGTGCCCTTGACAATCCGCAACCCAGTCCAAGGGATGCTGTTTTTAGCTTTAGTTTTAGTTTTTACTATTTCATATTATGCAGGTGGCATAGCCCTAAAAATGTTGGATGCAATTTTAAATTAGTAACTTCACCCCAGATTTACTGTTTCACCCATTATTTTGGGGTTACCTGTCACAGCTTCCCAAGCAAATTGACTGGACTGAGGATAATGGCTAGGGAAATATAACAAAACCTTATAAGTTGCCAGACTTAGCAAAGGTGTGTGTGTGCATAATGTTAAAATAGGATATGAATTTCATGATGTATGAGCTCTAAATTGCAAATGATTTCACAGAATCTGGAATGAACAGAGGTAAGATGTGTTAATATTAACAGTTGACATTTCTGTCATACATTTTAAAAATGGTTAAAAGTCAAAGTGAAATTAAAATCAAGTATGTACTTTTCCTGTTATATTATTTTCTTTTTTTTTCTGTCAATGATGAGACAAAAATATTTTGGTTTAATCTGGAAAGCAAAGACAACCACAGAGAAACACCTGAAGGCTGCGTTATCATAGCTGAGACCTGGCCAGCCTGGCAAAGCCCTTGCTTCCTGTTCACAGGAGGAGATGGTATCTACAGTTTCAAGTATGACTGCTGGGCTTCTGTTGCCAATGGGAGACTCTTGGTGGTCACATTAAACCACAGCATCCGGCCCTGCTTCCATCACTAAGCAGCTTGGCATGTGAAAGGCTCAGGGCTGCTGACTCCCAAACTGTACTGTCACTAATTCCAAAGTGGGAATTAGGAGTCCATTAAAATGTCATGAGGATTTTCTGTGATCAAGTTAATCTGGAAAACAAGACACTCACAGACACTGTATTAGGGATCTATATACATTTTCTCCTCTCCTGTATGACATTTAGCTTAGTCATGAGTTTATTTTGCACTTTGGAGTATGGTTCCCCAACTCCCGTGAGAGTGAACCACGTATTTGGAAAAACATCTTTAGAATGTGTGTTCTCTTGTGTCTAGGGCCATTAGATTCCTCTGTTCCTGCAAGGTGCAATCATGTAGCCCAAAGGCCTACATAAAAATGCTTCGGCCAGAGGCGGGCATCTGACTTGGGGCTTTTCCAGGCCTAAATTGGGAATGCTGCTGTGACAGTCCAAGGCAATTCTGGGTGGCTGCTCTAGGTCTGTTTAATGACAATCAGGAGAGGACTGCTGTTTCTGAAATCAAGAGGAGGAGGAGCAACAGACACACGTGGGGGGGGGACGACAACAAAGTGTACCTGCAAAGGAGAGAGACCCCTCCCTTGGTGAATCCTTCCTGCATTCCCAGACACCCCAGTCAGCAGTGGAGCCGGCTCCCCGGGCCACTTCAGGGAGGGTCCAAACAGCTAGGCCAGCACTCCCTGGTAGTCATCTGCATTTGTGCATGACCGCCCAGTCACTACACTTGCGTGACATGAAGCAAGCTTGAGTTGCCTAGCCTGGGGAAGCTCTACAGTTGCGTGACATGAAGCAAGCTTGAGTTGCCTAGCCTGGGGAAGCTCTACACTTGAGCCTTCTCTTGGTAATGTTCTTAACATACTCCAGATTCAAGAGGCCAGTCCCTACATTTCACAGCAAGGAACAGAAGGAACACTGGCCACCTGGAATGAGTGCATTCGGTCACGTGGGAGGTACAACAGTGATCCAGATTGGCTGGGGCAAGTTGGTAATATTAAAAAAAAATACAGGTCTTGGGAAGGAGCTTTGGATTGCTCTAGGTTAGTATAGTTTATTTTTATGATTAAGTAACTGCAAATGCAGGAAATTCTTTAAAAACCCTTTCCCTGCCCTCCCCTCCAACTCCACAAATTGCTGGGGAGCAGCAGCAGAGCACTGGCTGATGGGGCCTGGACTGGCATCAGCTGTGTCTCTAAAACACTGTAAAACCCTCCCAAAATTTGGCACTGTGGGGATGATTGGCAATTCGAACTCAGGCTAGGTAGGAGTCTGGGCAGCCTTGGGGACCATCCCAAAGCTCTGGCAGTGCTGTTTACGGAAGCTTCCCATGTACTCCCTCAGATCCATTGCTCCTGCAGCTACAGTCAACCATCCACAGCCGCAAGAGGAGGGGCGTGCCCAGTGTGCCCAGTCACATCCAACTGCAGACTCCCCACAGCTGAGCACAGGTCAGGAAGGACATGGAAAGGGGTGCTCTGGGTTTATATATCACTACTCATCAAACTGCTGCTACTTTACCTAGAATTTCTATCTACAAGCCATGGGGGCGGGGAAGAGGTGAGAAAGGAGTATGAGATTTATCTCTATATAATCTATTGGGTTGCAGTTCGAAATGAGCTACTTCTCCAAAGCAAAATTTACAAGATGCCCATAAACTTCAATTAGAAGGCTTTGTAACTAGTGTGGGCAGCGCCACCAGTTAAGAACCCCCAAGCGCTCAAGGAGTACCAGCCAAAACATTATTTCATTATTGTTCTTTACAATAAAAATGATTCTCCACTTATTTTTCCCTTGTTCATATACGTTCTGCATTAAGCAAATACAGAAAAAGAGGAGTTGACTATAGGGACCATCAAATCTACCTTTGGAAGAAGGGCTGTGGGGATCCAGAATGTCCCAAGGGAACAAGTGCCTGTCCATCACTGACGGGGCCACATCTGTCTCCTCTGCCCCTCCTACTCCACCCATACCACGCATCCACGTGTCCATGTCTCCACAAGCAAACGCTTCTGCCTGACACGACAGAATATACTTTATACTAAAACATTCTGAAAAGCAGTAACTAAGACCCCAATTCCAATGCTGAAAACACAGGATACAAAAGTAAGCAAATTTCCTGGGAAACCATGATTAATTCTCTCTGCAGTGAAAGAAAAGCATGTCCCTGGAGGAGTAAAGACAGTTTGCAGTCCTCGGAGTCCAAGATGATCTTTCGTCCTCCACACTGGGCTTCAGGCAAGCTCTGCAGCTGAAGGACAGAGGGCTGGCAGAGGGGCGGGATGGCTAACGTGGGCCCTGAGAGACCATGCTGACAGGCGCTCACTCTGAGGAAGAACCAAACAGGTGGGCTCTGTGTGGGTCTGCAATGAGAACCCTGGTTGTTTGGGGGCTGGTTCAGTCAGTCCAAAAGGACAGCCTAGAATGTTCTATAAATTAACTTCTAAAGTAGAGACTGGGACCCCACGGCTTTGGTGTTAGGAGAAGAAGCAGCAGTCCAGGCCCCAGATAACTCTGTGCTGCTTCTCTCTTAGGGCTCTTGCTTGAAACCCCAGCCAGCTCTGTTGCCAGTGCACACAGGTTCCCCGGGAGCCAGCCTCCTGCTTTCCTCTGGGCTACAGCAGGCAGTTCGTGTTTGCCTGGGGAACGCTACTGGGTATGGACAGAGATTTGCCACCAGAGATGAAAGAAAGGACTTTTTCTTTTCGGGAAGCATGTGTCAGTGGTTTACCACCAAATACCAACTTGTGGCTGGGAACAGCACTCGTGGGTGATCCTAGGCTGCTGCTTCTCCCAACATTGTTTGAAAGACGTGAAAGCTACTAAGCGGGGCTGGGGAAGGCTGTGTAGACAGCAGCTTCTGGAGAGTGAGGTGGTGACTCCCCGGGCTCCCGCTTGACTCTCCAATGCAGACAGCCAGTCTCCAAGAGACTCATCCGGGCCTCACTCCCCATGGAGACTGACAGTCACCCTGCACCTGGAAGTGCTTCCCGCCCACTTTATCCCCTTCCTGTGGGCTGTTGGTGAATCAGCGGCTGCCCTTGGTGCATCGTGAGGTGTGAGCACAGGGTATAGCTGTGCTCCATGGGAAGGCATAGGGCTGCTAACCGCATCCCGAGTCTGCTACACTAGTGGAGGAAGGAAGGGAGGGGAAGGGATGCTGGCTAGTGTGCAGGAAGCTGCCACCGACTCTCCATCCTCTAAGCATCCCTCAGTGTCGGAGGACAAAGCATGTCGGAGGAGGCTGGCAGGCAGAGGGTACCACACATCATCAGGTGATGCACTGCCTGCAGTTACAGGCCTGCCCTGCCCACAGGTGTGGAGAGAACACCAGGGAATCTGCCAGAAGGACCACAAAAGAGATCGTGAAAAGAACATTGAAGAGAATACACGGCCCACCTCCCTGTGTCTCACATGTGGGATTGACGGCTACCTATGGATGCATTTCAAACACTGATTGATAGAAGGGCTGGGGGACCACAGACTCTTTCCCACCCCCCCAACAGTGTCAGCAGGGGAACCCTCTGCTCGACACCTGGCAGAGAAAGGTCACCAGGGAGGGGGTTCTGTGTTGGGACACATGATCCTAATTATAATTCCCACACCTTTTACTACACTGAGAGAACGGTATGTCCAGAGTCCTCTGTCTGGGGCAGCTGAGACCCTGCAGGCACTCACTGCTCCTCCGTTTTGCTACTATTCCTAAACTTCACCACCATGACTGTAATGTTGTCGGGGCAGCCTCTGTAGAAGGACTGAAGGACGATGCTTTTGGCTCCAAAGTGAGGTTCATCCAAGCGCTCCTTGATGAATCGAACAGCTTCTTCATTGCTGAAAGCATCCCACAGACCATCCGATGCCAAGATCATGAACTCGGGCTGCAGCTTGTCCAGGTCAAAGGTCAGGATATCTGGGTCCGGGATGACCACATTAAGATTTTTCAGTGGATAATCTCCCAGGGATCGAGACATGGCCAGGATTCCCTGGACCCTCCAGGAGCCATTGAAACTGATGAATCCCCCTGGAGAGACAAAGAGAACGAGCCTGTTAGCTTGCCCAGCCGATACCTCTCACACTTGGTACAGTTCTGGTGTGTGTGCCACAGGCTGGCCTTCTGCATGTGAGTTGGGCCACAGGTGCCCTCCCCCCCCATCACCTTTGACACTACCAGGCCAACAGCATCGTGCTGCAGGGCCTGGGATGGAACTTCATGGGTGGAGAGAGCATCAGTTTTAACAACGCACTGTGGCAGCTCCGTGTTGATTGACAGGTCGCTGCAGCATGGGGATTTGAGGAGCAAGTGGGCAGGCAGGGAGACATCCCAGAAACAGGTCCTCAGGGAGGTCACCCTGGGATGTTCCGACTGGCGTGGATCCCAAGCTGAACCGGGATGAAGGCAAATCACATCTTAGGCATAGTTAGTGACCCTGGATGAGAATACTCTCCTCTGGGCGCTTTATCTTCCTAGCTGCCAAGTGAGTATAATGTCTGTGTGGTGAGACCATGAGAAGTTACTCCACAGAACCCACAGCACGGAGCCCGATAGCACATTTGCTCATCTGTTCTCCCTTCCCTTTCTTTTTTTTTTGAGAGGGCACTAAAGTCTCCTAGAGTCAAGGTAGTCCTGACCTCACTATATGGCTGAAGCTGGCCTGAGCTTCTGATCCCCTGGCTGTACTTCACCAGCTCTAGGATTCAAAACATACACCACCATCCCTTGCTTCGATTGTGATTTCTTTAAAGGAGCTAGAACTTTGTTCATCATGTATTTGTCAGATGGTGATCAGATATCTACACTGCAGAAGGGGATTTTTTTTCTGGATATGAAAATTATATAAGACCTAGACCTTTTGACTGACAGCCTGAGGAGAGAGAGGCCACGTTTGTTAAAAGTTGCCCGGATCAAGTAGTACTCCTCCGGCACAGGTTAGTGTCTGCTTCCCAGGTTAGGGAGGACGGAGGAAGGACGGGAGTGACGTCACAGGGGAGCTGTAAGGGAACAGCAGGCAAAACACTGGAGAGTTCCAGCAAGTGTGGAGTAGTCGCCAAGAGCAAGGCCTCACTAGTCGTCACAGTTTTAACTCTGGCCTCGTCACTGTCACTTACTAGTTGTGTGTCTGTGGACACAGTCTCTCTGAGGTCCCAGGTTACTGGCTACAAAGTGCTTATGACATTACTGTCCTCACAGAATTATAAGAATGCATGTAGTGTGTCAGGCTCGGCTCTTACACTCTGAACACAAGGAGTTGCAGCTGATACTGACTCTGTTTGTGACACAGCAGAGACAGAAAGGTCAGCATGTATGTATGTATGTATGTATGTATGTATGTATGTATGTATGTGTATATATATGATGTAGTCCAGACTGGCTGGAGCTTCTTGTCATGCTAAGCAGGAGGAAGAGAGATGCCCTAAGTCTAGGGTTATCATAAACACAAATAAAGATGAGAAAACTCATCACCACCTCCTAGGGCAACTGAAACAGATTCACAGCTGGTCCAGGCACACACAATATGAGACAGCAGAGTGTTCGGATCTAAATGGAACGTCTCTATCTTGTCCACTCTGCCCAGGGTTCAGAGTCATTGAGGCCGAGGGGGCAAAGGAATGTAGGAGCCAGAGATGGTGGATGACTACACTCAGGAACTGCTCTGTGTGTGTGTGTGTGTGTGTGCGTGTGCGTGTGCGTGTGTGTGTGTGTGTGTGTGTGTGTTCAGGACAGCTGAATATATGAACTCACAACAGTTGTGACAACATGTACAGTATCTAGGGCAAGCTCAAGTCAGACAGCAGTTAAGCCTGGAGGTGAGAAATGGACAGGAAGTCCCACCCCTACCTAAGAAGCTATTAATAATTGATAGCTGCAGGAAGGGAGCTGTTTCCTGCAAGGGTGTGGCACTTGGTAGTTAGACGATGATCCCAGTGGATGACCTGGGCAGCACAAATTGGACTGGATGGTGTGGTGGGGGGCACAAGGTTGGTAGGTAGGTTATGGTTGATCTTGGCTGTCAATCTGAGTATATCTGGGATATATACCCAAAACAGCTGAAAATGTTCGTGAGGGATTTTCTTGATTGGATTGTCTGGGGTGGGAAGACTTATTCTAAATTTAGGCTATACCTGGTGGCAGCCGACATGCATGAAAGGACATGGAAGAAGGAAGACTTTGTTTTTTGCCTACTTGTCCTCACTCTTGCTGGCCAGCTCACCTATCCTGCGGATGAGGCACTTCTTTGCTGGTATAAAACCTATTTCTTTGGGAGACAAGGTAGACTGAAGACTGCCTGAGACATCTAGCCTTGTGGACTATACAGCTGATGGATTCTTGGTCTTTGCATTGGGAGATAGCTGTTGTTGAACTAGCTGGACCACAGCTTTTAAGCCAGTCAAATAAATCATGTATGTATGTATGTATGTATGTATGTATGTATGTATGTATGCATGCATATTCCCAATCAGTTCTATTCCTCTAACAAATGCAAGTGGATCTGGAAGAGATTGGGGGAGGAGAGTGGGGAGGAATATGATCCAAATACATTGTATGACATTCTCAAGGAATAAAACTATTAAAAAAAAACCACACCCTTGCCTAATCTTGTAAAAGAAGAGAGTAAGTCAATTAATCTCAGAGACAGTGCAAATCTGCTCACATAAGGAAGTACGGCAGAGGCCAGAGGGTAACCGGGTAGTGAAATGTCAAGAACACAAGCTGGACAGTAAGGTGGGGTTTCTGGGTGTGTCCTGTCACATTTAGCCATCTGGATCTTGAGCATGGACTTAGAGTGGACTCTTAGGAGGAGATGGAGCCTAATAAATGAATGTCAGAGTGTTTTACTCATCTTGCCTGGAGCTCATCAAAGTTTGATGGATGATCCAAAAGCACTATTCCATTTCATCAGCAGAAAACCTAGGCAGATCTTTCATTCAAAATTGTTGCCTCCCAAGCAGGAACTGAAGGGGCTCCAGTAAAACCCAGCCCTGTTAGCCTGAGGCACACAGCTTCCTGCTGGGAGACACAATGGCTCACTAGGCTCTCTTCATTTCCTCCTTGGGTAGAAGCTAACTACAATGGCTTTTCTGCAGGTCACACCCACACAGGGGTCCAGGCTGCTCAGTTTAGAGAGAAGGGATTCTTGCCTTCCACAGGTAGGAAGCCTCAGATCTAATGATCTTCTGAGTTTTGGTCTCAGTATCTCTCTATGGAATTACACATGGGAATCCATGCCTGTAATTGAAGGACTTGGGAGGCAGGAGAATTGGGACAGCCTGGACTACCTGAAACCCCATCTCAAAAATGAATGAATGTCACCTTAGTGGTTTCGCATAAACCACCCCACTTAAAGCTATGGCTTTAGACACCTCCTCCATTTCCTCATCTGCTTAATGCATCTACACAGTAGTCACCATCTTAGGACATACTGCAGAACTCATTGATCTTTGATCCATATTTATTTACTCTATCTTCACCTCAACCAGTTTCAGAATGCAAATTGCATAAGGGCTTTGTGGGGTGGGGTGGGGGAAATGGGACTCTTCCATTTCCACTTAGGATGGTCACTGAGTTGGGTGCTCAGGTATGGACACAACCAAGATCAAGTTCTTGCCTCCAATGAGTCACAGTCAGGAAGCTGAAAGCCAATTACATGCATGCATTTTACAAGGACCCTAAAGAGACTTACTGAGAATGCTGGGGAAAGACGGGGAGGGCAGCCCCCGCAGACTGTGGAAGCCTTTGCCCCAGTGGGACATGGACCTCTTCCAACAGGACACTCCAAAGTGGAATTTTAGGGGATACATAGTAGTTTTCATCCACTCAGATGTGGGGACGACGCTTGCATGGCACAAACACACCACTGGAGTTCAGGCTGGAGTGTTAGGAGCCTGGAATGGCTGCAAGGGAGCAGAAGTCTAGTGATCACGTGGACTTTACACCCAAAAGGGCTGTCTTTGACCCTTTTCGAATCTTTGGCCATGGAGAAAGGCAAATTAAGTTATCATCAATTAATATGAAATGTACAGTATAGGGATACAGACTAGTAACAGTCATGTTATAATGAACCCGTGTGCTGCTGGATATGTGATTTTCTCCCTAAAACCTTCCCAAGCAAGCACCTAGATAACCAAACGAGATGGCAGACTTCCACCAAGGGGCTCACAAACTCACCAGCTCTCTTTATCCTCTTCCTCTCCTTGAGTTGGTAAGGCTTGTGATCATGAGACAAGGGAATGGCGTTCCCATCTTTGTCACACAAGACTCCTCGAGAATCACCAACATTGGCCACAGTGAGGTCTTTATCTGATAGTAGAGCAATCAAACATGTTGTGCCTGCAAGACAGAAGAGAGGCAGTGTAGATGGGACAGTGCACTGATGTTCCCTTGCTTCTCCTGGCCCCCAGACTGGTCCATCATTACTACTTCTCTTGCTAGGAGGGAGTTTTACTCTGGGAATGATCACAGTTCCCTTCAACATCATTGATCAGATCTGACAGTCCATTTTCTTAACCGTGTTACACTGTCACTAAAACAGGCTAGAAGAACAGTATCCTTTTCCTAAATCACTTTGTTTCTGCCACTCTTAATTTAAAGACACCACATCTAAAAGAATTACAGGAGAATCCAAATCAGTTTGAAGTCATAGGCAACTGGTACACGTCATCATCGTCTCATAGGTGCTCAGTCTCTGAGAAATCCCAGTGATAAGTGTGAAGACATTGGCGATGGGGGCTGGCTCCTGAGGGAGAGGCAGATGTCAACCACCATACCCTGTGGCACTATGACAGAGCTAGCAGTGTCTGAAAAGGTCCAGCCAGTATACAGAAAGTCTCAGAGCAGAGACTAGGGCAGGCTATGAAGGCAGAACAGGAAAACCTACAGGGAAGCTACAAGAGAGACCGAGGTGTCAAAGCACCAGCTTGCCCGAAGCTCGCTCAAGACGCACAAAGACAAGCTCTCCTCGGTTCTTTCTGAAACAAAAAAGAATACAGCAAAGAGAACAGGACAGTCTTTTGCCTCTTCTGCCCTGTCTGTCACTGTCAATGGTCAAGTGTCTGCTGAAAGGCACCATTCACACTCATTCCTCTGGGACTCAAACCGGTCACTCCTTTACTTGCTGAGAAGCACTCCCTGGTTGTCCTTAGCAGGTCCTTCTTGTTAAGAAAGTCATACTCCACAATAAAACTGTACAAACTGTACACTGAGTCTAAAGGACATTTTAGTTTTCATAGAGCTACAACACAAAGCGGAGGACTCCACTCATAAACAGAAAGAACAAATACAGATTGGTGAGAGCAGGAGGCTAGTTATGAAAGCTGGCATATTCTGTGACGGTTGTTTGACATTCTCTTCTTTTTAAATTAAACCACTGAGTGTGGTTGCAGGCAATGGGGAATGCAAGCGGATGCCGGTGTCCACCATGGCTCATGTGTGCAGGGCAGAAGGTAACTTTTGGAGTCCGTTCTCTCCATCCACCTTGCTGATTCAACAGTGTTCTGATGTAGAGCCCATGGAGAATGCTACTTACTGGCTTGCTCCCTATTGTTTACTTAACCTGCTTTCTTATAGAGCCAGGACCACTAGCCTGGGAGGGTGACCATAATGGGCTGGGCCCTCTCAATCATTAATTACAAAAATACACTACAGGGTTGCCTACAGTCCAGTCTTATGGAGGCATTTTCTCAACTGCGGTTCCCTCCTCTCAGAAGACTTTAGCTCATGTCAAATTGATATAAAACTATCTTAGCCACCAGGAAAATGCAAGTCAAAACTATTTTGTGATTTCATCTGACAACTGTCAGAATGGCCAAGATCAATAAAACAAATGACAGTTCATGCTGGCTAGGATTTTGAGTAAATGGAACACTCATCCATTGCTGGTGAGAGTGCAAACTTGTACAGCCACTGTGGAGAACAGAGTGGCAGTTCCTTGGGAAGATGAGAATTGATCTACTTCAAGATCCAGTTATACCACTCTTGGGCATATTCCCAAAGGATGCTTCATCCTACTATAGAGACACTTGCTTAGTCTTGTTCATTGATGCTCTATTCATAACAGCCAGAAAATGGAAACAACCTAGATGTCCCTCAACAGAAGAATGGATAAAGAAAATGTGGTACACTTACAGAATATTACTGTCATTAAAAAATAATGAAATTCACAGGTAAACGCATAGGACTAGAAAAAAATCCTGGATGAGATAATCCAAACCTAGAAAGACCAATATGGCATGTATTCACTCATATGTAGATATTAAGCTGTTAATGTTATGATGACCAAGCTACAGCCAATAAAACAACAGAGATTATGACAGAGAAAGGAAGTAGGAGGACAGATCTCCCTAGGGGAAAAGAATAGGTATTTATGGATGGATACAGGGGACTGGAATGGAAGGATCAAGTGTGGAGGGGAGGGAAGAGGGGAGTGACGGAAGGAATGTGGGGAGAGGCAGCTAAAATTAAGGACCATTTTAGAGGTAGTAGGGAAACTTAATACAATAGAAGCTTCCTAACATATGTACATATATGAAGATGATCTAAATGAAATCACTAAAAGAATTTTAAATCCTATAAATACAATCCAAATAATCAGAAACCATTCCTCTTGAGCTTTGATGTTGGTTGAATTTCATCTGCAACTACTTTTACTTTGTTCTAAGTATCTGCTTGGCTAAACTTGTCCAATACAATCAGAGCAGAGATGTCTTTATGTGACACATTAGAGTTTGGAAGGTAAGAGAAGCACCACTTTTCCGGGTGTCACATGGCAGTGGGGTGCATGTAATAGAACTTATTGACCTTTCTCCCTTTTGCCCTTCTGCATGCTTGGGGCAAGGATGTCCCACTAAAGGCTTCTACAACATTTAAACCTATGCCATTAGCCTAGTTGACACCGAGGTTCATACCAGCTTCTTAGTGATGGGACTCTCCAGCTTGGGCCCCATTCCAAACCCCAGCCTCAGAAAATCTGCCAAGCAGTGGCTCCTCCCCATGGCTGCTCAAGACTGTGCCTACAAGTACTTAGGCTCAGGTCACCCGGAAGGGCTTTGCTCATTAAACCTGGCCTTTTAATTCGGCCTGATCTGACTTGTTTGTTGCATTGGTGGAGAGATTCACTACCAGGGATTCCAAAAATACTTATCACTTAGTAGGCATTTCCTTCTGCCTGTTTTACAGGGATCCAGGGAAGGGTGCTCCACCGGGCTGTGGTCTGGGCCTTTTCCCAACTCCACTGCAGCCAGTACAGCTCTGCATCTATTAGACTAGTGAGCAGTGAGATAAGTAGGAGAAGAGTGAGCACTGCAGCTAGGACACAACCTGAGATGCTACCCTACTGACGATTAACAATCCCTGCAGGCTTTCAGTAGCACAGTATCATGCTGTGGAATATCTGTTTAACTAAGCAAAGATGTGCTACATTTGCTTATGTTGAGTGTTACTCTTCCTATGTCAAGATGTCTTCTGTTTCCCCTTGCCTGCCTAAGGCACTTGATTGGTCTAATAAAAAGAAGAACAGCCAGTAGCTAGGCAGAAGAGAGGTAGGTGGGGCTGGTGGGCAGAGAGAATAAATAGGAGAGAATGAGAAGAGAAGAGAGAAGAATGAGGGAGAAGGATAGGGACACACCCGGGGCCAGAAGCCATGTAGCCACCAGTCAGCCAGACATGAGAAGCAGGAAAGTAGGTCATAAGAAAGAAAGATAAAACGCCCTGAGGCAAAGCATAGATAAAGAGAAACTGATTAAAATTGGAGCAACTACTCACTGGTCCTTGATAAGGTAAAGGAATTCACAGAGGCTTTTCTACACATGGATAAATGTTTCAATTGGGTGATATTAGGTGCTTACTTTATCCAATGAATTGAGTGTCAAAATGTAATCTCAGTGATGTTTAAGCCCATGACTGCATATATATTTTAGTTAAAAATTTCTAAGTGAAGAAAATGTGGTACATTTACATAATGGAGTATTACTTAGCTGTAAAAAAAATAATGGCATCATGAAATTTGCAGGCACATGGATGGAACTAGAAAAACAATCATCCTGAGTGAGGTAACCCAGACTCAGAAAGACAAACACGGTATGTACTCAGTCATAAGTGGACATCAGATGTCAAGCAAAGGATAGCCAGGGATGATCCTCAGCTCCAGAGAAGCTGGGTAACAAGGAGGGCCCTAAGAGGGACACATGGATCGACCTGGGAAGGGGAATTAGGAGAGATCTCCTGGGTAAACTGGAGGAGGGAGGTAGAGGTGAGGGGACAGGGGATGAGAACATGAGAGGACAGGATGGCCAAGGTGGGGGGCAGAGTGGGAGAGCAATGATAAAGAGATCTTCATAGAGAGAGCCACTGTGGGGCTAGGGAGAAACCTGGTGCTAGGGGAACTCCCAGGAGCCCACAGGATGACCCCAGCTAAGACTCCTAGCAGCAGTGGAGAGGGGGCCTGAATGGGCCTTCCCTGTAATCAGATTGGTGACCACCCTCATTGTCATCATAGAACCTTCATCCAGTAACCGATGGAAGCACATGCAGAGATCCACAACCAAGCATCAGGCCAAGCTCTGGGAGTCCGGTCGAAGAGAGGGAAGAGGGATTGATTATATGAGCAAGGGGGAGGTCAGGATCATGATGGCGGAACCCACAGAGACAGTTGACCCAAGCTCGTGGGAACTCATGAACTCTAGACTGACAGCTGTGAACCAAGCTAGGCCCTCGGTATGTGGGACACAGTAGTGTAGCCTTGTCTATTTGTGGGACAAGGATCTATCCCGAGTGCAACGGGCCTTTGAGAGCCCATTCCTTGTAGTTGGACGTCACGCTCAGCTTTGATGTGGGGTTGAGGGGGAGGGGGTGGTCCTGCCTCAACTTGATGTGCCAGGCTTTGTTGACTCCCTATGAGAGGCCTTACCCTTTGAGGAGTGGATGGGGGATGGGGTGGGGGGTTATGGGGGCAGGAGGAGGGGAGGGAGAATTGTGGCTGGAATGTAAAATGAAATTTAAAAAAAAATAAGAAAGAGAGAAATCCCTAGCAGTCATTCCCTTACAGTGAAGGCTACGAGTGGCTCCCAATACACCACAGCTGGTTTCCTCGCAGGGCAGTGAACTGCTCCTCCCATCCTCTTCACGAAGTTTTGATCCCTTAGAGGCAAAGCTCCCTTTGAGGCAGGACGGTGCCTGTCACTCACTGACACATGCTCATGCTGTACTCTGTAAACTGAGTCACTCCAGGGGAGGGGCTGTGACTAGGGATGAGGGAAGAAAACAGGGTCACACCCTGGTACCGTCTACACACATATGTGTATGACATGCACATAACAGAGCGTGTTGCAAACATG